CTAAAAAAGACTAAAACACTGCACATAATTTTTTTTTTGTAAAGCAGTTAATTATTAATCTACTTTGTTTGGTCAATATGGATGTACAAGCTTGTAAATACATTGCTAAAAAACAAAAGTTGACTTTGTTATTCAAATATTGATTGAAGCCCGTGGCAGATTGCTGATGAAAGAGTTTCCCACCGGAGTTAAATTAGGCATTCTGATGAAATTTGACACAAAGCTTCCAACAGACTGATCAACACTGCTGATACACGATCCACAACTTGTAATTAAATTAATCATTACAATTAAAAAATATATAAAAACTAGCACTCTTTGAAGGAATGCATTTCTCTTGCTGCCTTTTATGTCAGAGTTTTAAACTAACGCAGGTGTCTGCAACCTTTACGATCAAGAGAGTCATTTTTGCACCTTTGTTCACTAAATGAAATGTGTCCAGAGCTGCAACAACCTGCTACAACTGTGGTGGTCAAGTGGTGGCTCGTGGGCTACGTTAGGTTTGTTGGAGGGGGGTTTTGTGGCCAGTAGGGGCCACTCACAAAAACACCTACACCCCCCTGAACATAAGAGGATCTGCAGTGGAAGTGGTCTCCAGCTACAAGTACTTGCATTTAGAAGCACTGACTTCTACTCTGCTGAAAGTCTGGACTCATCTCTACATCCAGAAGAATTTATCACCTCCTTTCAATACACTTCTACAAAGATCTTGGACTCCATCGCTCCTTTAAGACAGACTTCTACAAAAATCAAACCAGATCCCTGGCTTAATGGTACCACTCGGACTTTTAGACAACGTTGCAGGAAAGCAGAACGCAGATGGAAGAAAGACAGGCTTCATGTGTCCCAGGACATACTGAGAGACTGTCTTCATGAATATCAAAAAGCTGTTCAGCAGGCCAAATCACAATATCTTTCTAATTTAATTTCTACCAGTTGTAACTGGCCAAGGGTTTTATTTAATACCATTCAGTCTGTCATTAATCCCTCCATCAATGTTCTGAAAACTGCTACACAGTCTACCTGTGATGGTTTTCTTGATTACTTTGTGAACAAAATAGACTCTATCAAGCAGAACATTGTCAGTACATATAATGCTGTTCAGTTATGTGCTCCCTCAATAACCTCTGCTGTGTTTGATCAATTTGACCTGGTCTCACTACCTCACCTCGTTAAGGTGGTTCAGCAGATGAAACCTACAAACTGTACCCTGGACATCATTCCCTCTAAGATGTTCAAGCAGTCCTTGGATGTTATTGGTCCTTGTCTTCTGACATTTATTAATAGCTGTCTAAGTTCAGGTTATGTCCCGTCTGTTTTCAAACATGCTGCGGTCAGGCCTCTTCTTAAAAAACCGGGTTTAGATCCTACAGCTTTTTCTAATTTCAGGCCAATTTCACACTTGTCATTTTTATCCAAAGTTCTGGAAAAGGTTGTTTTCATTCAGTTGCAATCTTTTTTAGAACACAACAACTTGTTTGAAAAATTTCAATCTGGCTTCAGACACCGCCATAGCACTGAATCTGCACTACTCAAAGTACAGAATGATATTCTTTTGTCCCTTGATGCCAAAAAACCTGTTCTGCTGGTGATGTTGGACCTCTCAGCAGCTTTTGATACTGTAGACCATCAGGTCCTAATCACTCGTTTGGCTCAGCAGGTTGGCCTTCAGGGTGTTGTGCTCGAGTGGTTTAAGTCCTATTTAACAGACAGAACTTTCTCTGTTATGATTGGTGATCTGTCCTCTTCTTCAGTCTCTTTGACCTCTGGTGTACCGCAGGGATCCATTCTGGGGCCTGTTCTCTTCTCACTTTACATGCTACCATTAGGACCCATCATTGCACGCCATAATCTGTCTTTTCATCTGTATGCAGATGATCTACAAATCTATCTGCCGGTCACTCCCAGTTCCTCACTCGGTTTCAACTCTATTGCCAGCTGCTTAAATGACATTAAGCACTGGCTGTCTCAGAATTTTCTCCACCTCAATAACGATAAAACTGAATGGATTTTATTTGGTGCTTCCAGTAATTCATGCAACATCTCTCCCAGTCTAGGTTTTCCGCTCCCCCACGCCAACCAGGTGGTAAAAAATCTAGGAGTGGAGCTTGACTGTAACTTAAAGTTAGATAAACAGATCAGTTCTGTTGTGAAAACCAGCTTCTTTCAGCTCCGTCTGCTTTCCAAAGTAAAATCACTCCTTAGCCGTAGTGATCTGGAGAAGGCCATCCATGCCTTTGTGAGCTCTAGGCTTGATTACTGTAACGCCTTATATGTGGGTATTAATCAATCTTCTATCTCCCGTTTACAGCTTGTACAAAACTCTGCTGCTCGCTTGTTGACTAACACACGTAAATATGAACACATCACTCCTGTCCTTTTCTTCTTTACACTGGCTCCCGGTTCAGTTTAGGATACAGTTCAAGCTGCTACTGTTTGTTTTTAAAGCTTTGAATGGCCTTGCACCACCTTATATTTCAGAACTTTTGAAAGTCCACCAGCCCAGCAGAGCTTTACGGTCTGCTGGTCAAAATCTGCTGGAGGTGCCACGCTCAAGGTGCAAACAATGGGGGGACCGGTCCTTTTCTGTTGCAGGCCCAGCAGCCTGGAATACTCTTCCCTATGAGCTGCGTGCCATCTCTGATCTGGTTCTGTTCAAAGCCAAACTGAAAACATACTTATTTAAAAGGGCTTTTAATGTTTAACTTTTAGTAGTTTAGTATTTACTATTTATTTTTTTATTTTATCTCTTTTACCTTCTTTTATTCTCGCTGTGTTTTTTAATTTGCACTGATGTATTGTGTCCTGTTTTTAATCTTGTTTTGTCTTGTGAAGCACCTTGGTCAATGCAAGGCGTTGTTGGAAGGTGCTATAGAAATAAAAGTTTATTATTATTTATTACTTGGGTGTACACATGAATAACAACCTCAGCTGGAGCAACAACACCACCAACCTGATCAAGAAAGCTCATCAGAGACTCTACTTCCTCAGGCGGCTGAGACGAGCTGGTCTGGGAAGCTCAGTCCTCACCTCCTTCTACAGGTGTGCAGTGGAGAGCATCCTGTGCTCCAGCATCAACATGGCATGGAGGCTGCACAGCTGCAAAAAGAAATGCTTTGCAGAGAGTGGTGAAGGCTGCACAGAAGTCTGTTGGAATCCGTCTCTCCACCATCACAGACATTTACACCTCCAGATGCAGGAAGAGAGCCACCTGCATCATGAAGGACCCCACTCACCCAGCACACACACTTTTTGCCCCACTCCCCTCAGGAAGGAGGTTGAGGAGCATTAAGTGTAGAACCACTAGACTGAAGAACAGCTTCTACCCTTAGGCTGTTAGACTCAAGAATCTCTAATCAGGATAATCACTGTGAAAAAAATCACACCATGTTGCTGCTGATCTGTTTCATGTTGCTGCTGATCTGTTTCATGTTGCTGCTGATCTGTTTCAATGTTGGTGTGTTCATGCGTGCTCATCTGCTTACACAGACTCGTGTTCAGGTTTGTGCTGATGTTTGATGTGATGTTTTTATGCTATTAGTGCTTATTGTAAATTTTGTTGATGTTTTTCTTAGTTAATATCTTGGATATTATCATTGTTTTTCTTATACATTTTATTGTTGGATGTAACTGGGACCCTGTGTACATAATTTCGCTCCACCACATGTACCACATGAGGTGCGAATGACAATAAAGAAACTCTGACTCTGACTCATCGTAAAGCTAAAAATATCAAATGATTTTTAACATTTATTGATAATTTACAATTTAAAACAAAAGAAAAGACCAGATTATTTTAAAGAAGGAAAAAAGGGGGGGGGGGGGTACCTTTTTTTTATTATTATTTAAACAAACTATGAACTATCCAGACTTATGTGATTTTTTTTTTATTATTATTGTGGATAAAATAATTACCAGTAAGTATTGAAATGTATTAGTTCTAGTATTCACATTATTTGCAAAATAAATTACCAAAAAGCTGAAAAATGCAAACTGTTGCTACTAGCTTTTTTCTTGTTGATATAACAACCAATAAAATTCAGTTTTATGTTAGTTTTGGTCAAAGCCAAAGAGCCACATGTGGCTCCAGAGCCGCAGGTTGCAGACCCCTTGACAAGGGCATCTCATGGAATGACAGACATGCAGCCATTTTGGTCAAACCTTGTGCATACAGTTATTTTCACTCTTGTGATTCAACATAACCTGTTAGCTCTTGAGTATATGTTGTGATGCTGTTTCAGCTACTACCACACCAAATTGTAGCTCACTATCTGTAACAATCACCAATATATAGCCATTTGTTTGCTGCTAAGGTCAGTTAACTGTGGGAGCCATCTTCTCCAAAAGTTAGTCACGTCTACATAGACATCTAATAACTATTTGCTAAGAGCTTCATTGAAATTCCTGTAGTGGTTTATGAGGTATTTTGCTAACAGACAAGCAAGGGTGGTTCTAACAGTTAAAGCAAAGCATCAAAGCAAAGATGCTGCACAATGTGTTGTGGTTGAGGAAGATGCTATCTGAAAAACTGGCTGAGTTATTGTCATTTTTGTGTCACTTAAAATCAGTTGGCTGTGGCGGCCATCTTAACGTGTTTCTAATTCACTCACCTATTCAAGTCATTCTTGAGTTAAGTTCAAATGTTGAGGAGTTGTAGCTATACGTTAACGCATATAATGATTACTTTCTGAACGTTTCATTTAAATCTGTTCAGTGGTTGAGATATTTTGCTAACAGAGTTGAAACCAGTAGTTAATGGCAAGTTTTAAATGCAGCTCTTGCATGACCAATTAGCAATCCGAGTATAAGTTGAAGACGAATCTCAGCTACTACCTCACCAAATATTAACTCCGTATTTGTAAAATTGACTGAGCCATAGTTATTTCTGTTTGCTGAGCTCCCTGCTGTGGCGGCCTTAAACCTGGCTGTAAACAGCAGACTGTATCCTGTATCTTTACAAGTCTTTGAATTTTTTGGCTCTGTGTCTTTCTGTTACCCAGCAGGGCGGTGGTCGGACACAGAGAGCCGCTGCCTGACGACAGCAAAGACAACATCACCATTTTTACCCGAATCCTCGACCGGCTGCTGGATGGATATGACAACAGGCTACGTCCTGGGCTGGGGGGTAAGTTATGATTTATGATTGATCTGACACCCACACAGAAAATGTTTCAGACAGAAACTCCTGTGTGCCACTGCTCACAGAAAAACATTGCCCGCAGATAATGTGCTACATTAACAGGAGTTTCAGGCAATGCAGGAAGTCATAAATATTTATGTCCATTAGAGCGTGATGTCAGGCGGTATTATTTTAATGAAATGCTCCTGTAGACTAATGCACCCACAAAACCTGAAGTGAATGCACTGAACAGGTGCAGCAGTGAGATACTGTTCTTAGTTTAGGCGTTCTTTGACAACAGCATATAAAAATAAAAGCCAAGCATTCCTTGAAGGAATGCACATGCTAAAAAATTACAAGAAGACTTTTGTGAGTTTTTAACCATTTTCATCAAACTTTGTAAATTAATTTATGCAAAGTTTCATGCAAGATCTCAATTTTGAGAAGTGTGTTAAGGATCAGCCTCGGCTACTGCCACACCAGACTTTATGTCAATATCTGTAAAAGTGACTGAATTACAATCACTAATTATAGCTGTTAATACTTGGGTTCTGAAGGTCAGCTTTCTATGGCAGCCATCTTGAACTGAGTTGACTCCAAAAGGGACTCAGTCAAAGATGAACCAGTGATTATTTGAGAGTTTCATTAAAATTACTTTTTAAATATTTTAATCTTGTTTGGATTTTCCATGTCCTGTATGACTGAGAATCTTCACCAGCATATCTCAATAAAGTCCATTCAGAGATTTTGCTAACACAGACTAACAAACATATATGGGGCAGCTGTGGCTGAGTGGTTAGAACAGTCGTCCTCCAGTGCGAGACTTGGGGGTTCGATTCCACTATCAGTCACATGCTGAAGTGTCCCTGGGCAAGACATTGAACCCCTCATTGCCTCAGATGTGTGTCCCGTCAGTGTTTGAATGTGATAGAAAAAAAACACTGATTAGTCTCTTCAGAATGATTTGTTCAGTTAGCTTTGTATAGATCTAGTAGAGTTCATTCGACTTTTATTTAGACAGGTAAATCCCATTGAGCCTTGAGGACTCATTTACAAGAGAGACCTGATTTCAACAAAGAATGATGACAACATATCTAGTAGAGTGCTGTATGATTGGGTAAATGAAGGCACAGATTGTAGTGTAAAGAGCTTTGAGTGTCTTGATAAGATAGAAAGGCGCTATATAAGTACAGTCCATTTACAGTCCCTACAGAAAAAGACATGGACAACATGAAAACATGATCACCCTTTTGCATTGAGTGGTGGGCAATAGTCAAGCTTTAAAACCAGAAATTAATAGCTTTAAGTGAGAATCTTTGCAGATGTGTCCAAAAAAGTGTTTGAATTTCAAAGTTAGGCCCATGTGAATGCTTTTGTTCTGAAATTACCAGGAAATTAGTTTTAAAAAAAAAAGTACATTGGGCTGAACCTCGTGTCAAATTGCCAGTAGTTGCAGCAGCAGAGCCTAGCAGAACTTAGAGACGTTAGAGTTATAAAAGTGTTTTAAATCCTCAGGCTCTTCATCTGATCCTCTGTATAGACAACTGTAAGGAGTGGACACACTCCCCACATGGTGGAGCAGTTTGTACCTCTAATAGCCATAAAAAATATGGTTTGTGCAACACCAAAACAAGTCCAACTTGCAACAATGTCTAAACATTCATTCTGCGATTACACCCCGCCCCCTCCCCATGACATGAAGCTGCACCCACAGTTCGAGAACCACTGCATTATAGTAATCATAATTCTAAAATGTATTTTTCTCTGTATAAAATGTTGTCATTGTTTTTCCCAAAAAATGCTTCAATAGCCACACTGTGGTAGGTGGTGAAGTAAGGAAATAAGTCAGTTGTGTTGATGTAGCACCGTCCTCACACAAAGCGCTTTACAACAAAATGCAAAGCCATACAAATAAATCTACGTTACTATTATGTATATCAAAATACAGAGAAACATCTGTCTGAGCTTGGCCAAAGATTCTCAAAATATAACTGTTGCTCGTTATTTTCTGTAATGATGTTAACAAGTTTCTCAAATTTAATAAACTTTTTAGCTCACAATCAAAGTTTGATGCATTAGGATGAAGAGAAGCAGACGTAGTGGAAAAAATAGTAAAATCCTGTTTCTAACAAAACAACTTTACTATAGTTAGTAAGTGGGGTAAAAAGAAATCCTCTGGAGTTATCTACCTGGATGATTTACAAACCCTTTTCCGAACCACTTTGCCCTTGGTTGTCCTCAGGCTGTTTCTGTGAATAGCAAGTTGGCCATCTGGACTAAAACACTTGATTATTGTACATGATGATTGATTGTTTGCCCTGTTGCACATGTTAAAAGCCTGCATCTGAGATTTCAACAGGAGGATGGCTTGTAACACAGCAGTGAAGGCTACCTATGGGACAGATCTGGTTGGCAGGCCATAGACTGAGGAAGTCCTCTGGATGAGGGACGAAACGTTTCTCACTTAAAGAAACTGGTCCAGATGACACATTTTAACCTTTTTTGTCATTGTCTACCTGGATGACCGGGATTACAAACCTTTTTTTTCTCTGAATAAATTCATATTTTACTATTTTTTGTTAAAGTTGCCTTGTAAATTGATTAGTACTTTAAAAAAAAAACAGCATCTGTGTCGAGAGCAAGGAAAATTTTCAAAATAAATTGTGTTGTATATGAATATATATACGGGCAGCACGGAGGCACAACTGGAAGAGCTGCTGCCTCTCAGCGAACAGGTCCCTGGTTCAAACCCCGGTCCAGGGGCCTTCTGGGTGGAGTTTGCATGTTCTCTCCGTGCATGCGTGGGTTTTCTCCGGGTACTCCGGTTTCCTCCCACAGACCAAAAACATGCATGTTAGGCTGATTGGTAACTCTAAATTGTCTCTAGGTGTGAGTGAGAGAGTGAATGGTTGTTTGTCTCGTTTGTCTC